TGAGCCAACAGAATCTTCAAGTGACGCCAGCATGCAGAATTCGTTTTTGCGGTTGGTACGACCATGACGGCTGTGCTTAAGCGATGGTCGACCCCTGTCTTTGTTTGAGCCTGACAAGACGAGGCTCCTCCGAAGTCTGTAATTCGCAAATGCTGCCGGTATGAACCCCATGTGACTGTTTCCCCCTGATAGTATCTTCTTATACAATTTTCTACTCAAAAAACGTAATGTCGGTCAATGACTTTTGTTTCGATCCCGTGTTGCCCTTCAAATGGCTAATATCGATCCATCCACAAGGCATCGCGCTCTTGGAAGACATATTCCTTTTGACATTTTACACTCACTTGGCCAAACGCGCAGGTAGCTAGCTGTACTTGATTCACCAGAGCATACGTAGCACCGTCAGAAATCTCAGCATATGCTCAAATGCTGATTGTGTTCTTAATGCGCTTCACTATGATCCTCAACGGATTTTCATGTTCGGTGCTGGCTTAGTTCGTCGTGACTGAGTGAGGGTGTAGTATTACATGGTACATTCATCAGCACCGAGTTTATAGTGCTCTGGTGACTGAGCAACGTCAACTCAACACGCTGTCGTGTGCATGATGAGTGGTGTAGTTAGGAGGTTATCAATTATGGGGAGCCATGAACTTCCAATCGGAAGGGCCAAGCTCGCTTCCGTTTTGCAGGTGAATAACCAGGAAGTACTATAGCTTCATGTCGGCCAGTGCTTGGTCCTCAAGCTTTCCCAAAAAGATCAGATTTAATCGAATGCGATCACATCAGACATGAATTTGCAAATGGCTGTTGGCGCTAGCACTCCTATTTTGTGGCCCCTCCAGGTTGCAATCCACAGAGGCATGGGCCAGACTTTTCGCATCCCTGTAGAGCGTTCGCTGGGGCTTTACTATGTACATCCGTGGCAGACTGTGCGGTATTGGCGCCTAGTACCTAGTAAAGACAGACATACTCCGCCAGCCGATGCAGCTAGGGCGCCCAACTTGTGGGAGCTTACGGGGGTTCAGCATGCTGTCAAGGCGTGGGTTCATCGACTGGCCTTCTGGTCATGAAGTTTCGAGCCGGGTTTTGATCAGCCTCAGCTAGCTACCTATTCATAATACTCCTCCTCCTCCTCCTCCTCCTCCTACTACTACTACTACTACTACTACTACTACCTACTACTACCTCCTACTACTACTACTACTACTACTACGGTTTTTAACGATTTTCATAGTTTAATACGTCGTTCTTTTTTCGCTCCGCTTGGGAAAAACGTCTCAGGCGTCAGTAAGAGCGGCAAGGACCCACTCGGTCTAACGCTGCGGGTGGTCACACAGGCCCCAGGGGATACACCTGGCCCAAGCTCCAGGTCTCTCAACACCGGTCATGTGACTTCGTGCTGCGATTTCCACTTCACGCGATTCCAACCCATCACGACGCGTCTCACCACTGCACCAAACTCGAATATCCATCTTCTGAGATCCCAATGGCCCAGCCTGTTCACCATGAGCTTGTCCAGCGCAGCGCCTAGTGCGGCTGAGTCCCTTCTCGCCAGTCTCAACAAGGCACAATGTCGCGCCGTTACCTCCTCAGCACCCACCGTCGCCATCCTGGCTGGACCAGGGAGCGGCAAGACGCACACCCTGACCTCTCGTGTCGTTTGGCTCCTGGAGAATGCCGGCTATCATCCGGCAGACATAGTCGTCGCGACTTTCACCGTCAAGTCGGCTCGAGAAATGAAAGAGCGCATCGGACGGGCACTGGGCGACGGCCGTGAGAAGAAGATTGTCCTCGGCACCTTTCACAGCATTGCCCGCCGCTATCTCGCAGCCTACGGCCAACGCATCGGCCTCAGTCAGAAATTCGGCATCGCTGATGACGGAGATTCGAGGGCCGTCATCCAGAGGATCTGCAAGCGGCTGGGTCTGGTTGTGGATCCCCACGCCGTCCGTTCCTGGATCAGCAAGAAGAAGGCCAAGGGCTCCGAGCAGCACACCGCACAGCGGCCCAACGCCAAGAAGCCGCGCGAGAACCCCGAATTCGAGATTTGCTTCCGCGAGTACCAGGACCATCTCGAGCGCTCCAACCTCCTCGACTACGACGACTTGCTGACCAGGTGTGTGGAGCTGCTGCGAAAGCACCCCTCATGCGTGTCCAACGTGCAGGCGGTGCTCATTGACGAGTACCAAGACACAAACGGCATCCAGTACGAGCTTATGAGGCTATTTGCCCAGGCCCGCGATCGCATCACTATTGTTGGTGACCCGGACCAGAGCATTTATGGCTGGCGATCAGCTGAGATCAAGAATCTGTATCGTCTATTGAAGGACTTTCCCCGGACGGACGAAATCTCACTGGAGGAGAATTATCGGTCATCACAAGCCATCCTGGACGTGTCGTTAAAGGTCATCCAGCAAGACAAGAAGCGGTACCAGAAACTACTGCTTCCCGTCCACAATAAGGGTACGCGGCCGGTGTTGCGCCGCCTGAAGACGGCCGCCAACGAGGCAGAGTGGCTCGTCTCCGAGATCCGACGTGCCATTCTCATGTCGGGGAAAATGATGAACGAAGACGATGTGGCCATCCTGCTCCGGTCAGCAGCACTCTCCCGACACATTGAGTCGGCGCTCGGCAAGTGCGGCATGCCCTACAGGATGGTGGGCGGGAAAAAGTTTTACGAACGCATCGAGGTCAAGATTCTCATTGATTATCTGCGTGTCATCCACCAGCCCGAGAACAACGACTCGCTTGCGCGCATCATCAATGTCCCTCGTCGCGGTATCGGCGACGTGACTATCAAGAGTCTCGTCGAAGAGGCCGAGACTGCCAAGATGGACGTCTGGACTCTTCTGATGAAGCACTGCCGCGGGGACCGAAAGGCGCAAACAAACATCAAGAAGGCTATGGAGCAAAAGATCAGCGGCGAGCTCATCAGAATGGTCATGTCGATGAGGAAGAAGGTTGAGGAACCCCCGAGTGGAAGTCCCTGCTACCATTTGGTCGACCTTATCGGCGATCTACTCTCGCAGCTGAATTTTCAGAAGTACCTCCAGGACATGTACCCCGAGGAACATGAGGCGCGATGGGCCAACGTGGAGGAATTTATAAACCTAGCGGGCGACTTTATGCGCGAGCTCAGCGCGACAGTGGAAGACGACAAGCTGCCCACCATCGACGGCGTCCAGCAAGTGGAGGAGAAGGATGCGCTTGGCAGGTTTCTAGCCAACGTCGCGCTGGCTTCGGATTCACAGAAGGGCGAGGCGGAGAATAAGCCAATGGTGACCATTTCAACAATACACGCTGCCAAGGGCCTCGAGTGGCCAGTAGTCTTCGTGCCAGCCGTGTACAACGGTTCAATACCGCACGCCAGGGCGGAAGACTTGGATGAGGAACGGAGGCTCCTTTACGTCGCCATGACGAGGGCGCAGTCTCTTCTTTACCTCAGCTGTCCACTCTACAGCTCCCAGGCCGGGGGCATGGGTGGCGGAGGAGAGAAGGCTGAACTTTCCACATTTCTGCCCACTGAGATCCACCAGTCGTTCGCCAGGAGAGGGCCCTCGTTCAGCACCGAGGTGATCCAGGAGGTGGGCCGCATCCTAGGCCGCGCAGACTCTGTGCCTTCGGCGGAACGTATTTTTGCACAGATGCCGCTGCTCGAGAGACTGGAGGACACGCTTTACCCTGTCGACCCAGAAGAGAGCAACCCAGCGGGCAGGGCCGATAGGAACGGTTTCAAGCGCCACCGAGGTCCGCAGGCCAACGGCGACACTCCCGCCGAGGCCTATCCCCAATGGCAGACAGCAACCACCATGGAAGCCGCCTCGGCCTTCACACTGCCCGGTTTCACGACCGCTGGCGCGCACCAGACCGCCATTGCCGCGGCCAAGGAAGTCGCCGAAGCCGCCAGACCGCAACGTGAGCAGGCCGGACCAGGACACGCCAACGCGCGACGCGGCGAAACGACGAAGCGTCCCCCCGACCAGCGCAGCCTCCTGGGCTTCGTCAACAAGAGACAAAGGTCCGACCCATCAGGCACTGCCTCTGAGCCCACGCCCGTCGCGGCCGTTCGCTCGGGCCTGACCCGGCACGTCTCGACATCACACACGGCGGTCGCGCCCTATCCCCGCGGCCAGCCGGCGCCTCCAAATCCGGCCGCGCCGGCTCTCCCGGGACACAGGCTCACGGCGCCGACCATGGCGAAGCCGACGGCTAAATCACGTCCGCCAGCAGGCGAGGCGCAGGCGCACTACGGCTTCCTCTCGAGCTCGCCGGCAAAGTCCGCAGTGCCTCAGCCGGGCGACGACGACGCTGAAGCAGAGCAAGTCGTGGCGCCCGAGGCGCGGGAGCGGCCAGCAAGCTGTTTGCACGCGACGACATCAATGGGGCAAGGGGTTGGGCGGTTCGAGAGGCCGGCGTTACTGAAGAAGGAGGGCGGCATTGCGCCGATAGACCGGTTGAGGAAACCGTTCAAGCCACTGACCATGAACCGGCGTTAGCGAGGCGCACGAAAGAAAACCAACTACCCTGTCGATAGATTCTCGATAGATTCCATGAATGATGTAATGCCCATTGTAACGGCCCCGCCTGTGGATGGCCGGCCTCGTCGTGACCATACGAGGACCAAGCCGGACCACCTCTCGGGTGAAGCAGGAAGACCAGGAGCGGAGGTGTCACGGGGATAGATGGATGTCTTACGCCCAGGCATAACGCGTCCCCAATCAGGCCAGGAAGCGCACGGGTCGTAAAACCCCACCACCACCGCCCCGGATTTACGAGGTCAGCATGACGGTTGTTTGCTGTGCACCGACTGGGGACCTTGGTTGCCTCGCGTAAGGCTGACCACGGTACCTGAGACGTTCAGGTACCGTCATGGGACCGACCTTGGGTATATAAGATGGTCAAACTCTCGTCCATCGACCTGATCCAAGCCTCAAACGAGAAAATCCCATCCAAGAGTTGCACTACCAACCGAATCACGCCCGTCAATGTATGGTTCCACCATGACCCCCGTGGCCCGATCGGCCATCCTCCGCCCATCACCCAGGAGCCTCTCCACCTCTGCTCCCCGCCGCGGCCCCGCGCCTCGGAACCCGGGCTCCGACCTGTGGAACCCGAAGGACATGTGGCGCAAAGCCTCGCCGCGAACGAAAACCTTTGTTGTGCTGGGTGTCGCGGTGGCCGCCGTCGCCGAGGGGGGATTTTGGGCGACCTTTGGGCCGCGCATCTTCGGCAGGGACAAGACGGCCGAGTAGATTTGCACACACTTCTTCGTCGTCATCTGTACCAAGACGCTGAGGGAAAGAAAAGGCAGGCAGACAGATTGTGTATCGTTATTTGTTTCCCAAATCTACTCATAATTATCCCATCCAACGCCTTTTATGCCCGGCCCTGCCCGTACATGAATAACGTCCCATACGTTCCCCGCTGTAACCGTCTACCAATCCGGTGCGCTTCCGCATCCGCCTCCGGCAAGCACCTCCACTGGCCTGTTCATCTTGAGCGGCGCAAAGGGCTTGACGCCAGGCTTCTTTCCGCGAATGCCCTTGAAACCAACGGCCTTGTCGAGGCCCGCGAACGGCGCCTGGCCAGACTCTCCCTTCTTGACCTTCCACTTGGCCGTACCGAGTTCGGCGTCGAGCTCGGCCACCGGCGGCAGCAGCACGTGCACCATGCCGTCAGCGCGCTCCTCGGCCTCGAACGTCGCGATGCTCAGCTCGCCATCGTTCTTGCAGTCGCCGTTGGCGAGGTCAAAGTTGCGCTTGTGGTAGGGGCACGACACCCACGGCGCCGACTTCTTGGCGTCGCCGTTGGTGCTGCACCCGGAGTCCGCCTTGGGCGCGTCCGAGCACGTGTCTGCGCCTGTAGCCTCGCCGATGAGGCCTTCCGACAGCACAAAGGCACGCTTGTGCGGGCACATTTGCTGCGTGGCATAGTACTTTCCGCGAACACGCCACACGGCGAGCTGCGTGTCGCCGCGCTTGATCGTCGCCGAGATGCCGTTCGGCGCATCGTCGGCCCCGGCAAAGTAGGAGGCAGCAAGAAGAGGCTCCCACTCCTTCGATGTCCACCGTGACTTGAGCGCCTTGAAGTCCTCCTTGGCCGCTTCTGGCGCCCAGTACACGGGCCTCTCCTGGTCGCGCTCCGCCTCAATCTCCACATTCTCAACCGACTCGTCCGTGTTGGCAAACTGCTTGAACTTGTTGATGATCGAGGGCGTCGCAAGTGCCTCAGCCCATTCGTCAAAGAAGCTGTCGACGAGCTCCTGCATCTGTGCCTCCAGGGACGCACAGATGCCGAGCTTGTCCTCGAGCACGACTTCCTGAAGATACTTCAGGCCACCCGGCAGCGCTTGAATCCAGCTCGCTGTCCGCTGAAGCTTGTCTCCGGTGCGGATGTAGAACATGAGATAGCGATCAAGGATAGGGATGACTTCGGTGGGCGGTACGTCCTTGGCAAGTAGCTCCGCGTGCCTCGGCGTAACACCACCGTTGCCGGCAACGTAGATGTTGAAGCCCTTGTCCGTGGCGATGAGGCCAAAATCCTTGCTCTGCGCTTCAGCGCACTCACGCACGCAACCGCTGACGCCACCCTTGATCTTGTGCGGCGCTCGGATGGACTTGTAGCGCTCCTCGAGACGGACAGCGAGGCCAACCGAATCGCCGATACCGTAACGGCACCACGTGCTTCCGACACAGGACTTGACAGTACGCAGCGATTTCGCGTACGCGTGGCCAGACTCCATGCCTCCAGCGATGAGCTCCCGCCAGATAGCAGGCAGGTCCTGCCGGCGGGCACCAAACATGTCGACACGCTGGCCACCAGTGATCTTGGTGTAAAGCTTGTATTTGGCAGCGACCTGGCCGATGACAATGAGCTTCGCAGGAGTGACTTCACCACCCGACATACGAGGCACAACGGAGTATGTGCCGTTGCGCTGAATATTTCCGAGGAAACGATCGTTGGTCTCTTGAAGACCGTGCTGGGGCTTGTCCATGACGTGGCGGTTCCAGAGCGAGGAGAAGATGCCGCCAATTGTGGGCTTGCAGGCCTCGCAGCCAAGCGAGTCGGGCTCGGTTCCGACTTCGCGCATAACCTCGGCGAGCGTACGAAGCTTCTTGACCATGATAATGTGGTAGAGCTCGGCACGCGAGTATTTGAAGTGAGAGCACAGGTGGTTCTTGACTTCGTTGCCCATTGACGCCATTGTCTTGTTGAAGATTGTCGTCACGAGGGGCATGCAGCCGCCACAGCCCGTGCCGGCCTTGGTGCACGCCTTGATGTCGCCGATGCTCGTGCATGAGCCGTCCTTGACGGCGTCGACGACGTCGCCCTTGGTCACGTTGTGGCACGAGCAAATTTGGGTGTCGTGGGATAGATCGTCACCATCATCCTCCCCATCCTTTTTCGCGCCAAGAATGAGCTCGCTCGGTGGGATCTCGAGAACTTTCATGTTCTTGACCATGGGTACAAGCTTGATATAATCGCGTGTGTCGCCAATCATCATGCCACCAAGAAGGTACTTGCCATCTTCCGTGAACAGATATTTCTTGTACACGTTGGAGAAGGGGTCGCGGTAGGTCAGGGCCTTGACTGGTGCTGGCGGTAGGCCGTTGGTGAGCGTCTCGAGAGCCGTTTGCACGTTCTCCTTGTTGGCACGCTTCGCACGAGGGGGCAGCTTCTTGGGCCCGTCGCGATCAGCAAAGAAGTCACCAAAACTGGCGACTTCGACTCCAAGCAGCTTGAGTTTTGTGCTCAGATCCGGAGTCTTGAAGACGCGAGGCGAGTGCAGGTGAGCTTGTGTCAGATTGAAAGACAAGACGTCGGCCATCTCAACACCAGGAGCGATTAGGCCGAATGTCTGGGTCTGCCAGCTGGCACACTCGCCAATGGCGTAAATATCGGGCTCGCTGGTGCTCAGATCATCGCCGACGATGATACCACCGCCACGATCGGCGCACTTGAGACCGGCCTTGCGGGCGAGGTCATCTCTCGGTCGAATGCCAATGGCAAAGCAGATCGTGGAGCATGGCATCTGCTCGCCGTCCTCAAACAGAACGCCCGTGACATAGTTGTCGGCATCCACCTCGACCTTACCAACGCGCTTGCTGAGGAGAACGTCGAGGCCGAGGTCCCGGACCTGTTCAACAACCATGGTACCAGCATCGGCGTCGAGCTGACGGCTGAGCACCCATCGGTTCCTTTCGATAAGCTTGACCTTGTCGTAGCACTTGAGATCCATCATGGCATTGGCGGCCTCGAGACCAAGCAGGCCGCCACCGACAACGGCGCCGACGGTTCCTTTCCTATGTTCAGCAAATTCAATGAGGTTGATCAGATCGTCAATTGTTCGGTAGACGAAGACGCCTTTCGCGTCGTGTCCGGGGGTGTGGCGGGGTAGGACGGCATCGGAGCCGGTGGCGAAGACGAGGGAATCGTAGGAAACAACCTCGCCGTTGGAACATGTCACCGTCTTGGCCTTGGCGTCGACATCTGTGACTTTGGTGTTGATGTGGTAGCCGAGAGCTCCTTCGGGTGCGGCAGCATACTAGAAGACACACGGGCAAGGTTAGGCACTGTTGTGCGATCGACACGAGGTGAGCGAAGGCACATACCCATTCTTTTGGGTTCATGTAGAGGTTCTCGACTTTTCGGTGGTCGAAGAAACTTGTCAGGCCGACACGGTTGTAGGCCAGATGTGATTCCTCCCCAATGACGATGATGTCGTAGGCGCGTGTGCGGGCATCGAGCTTGAGCATCTTCTCGATGAAGGCGATGCCGACCATGCCCAGGCCGACAACCACAAGCTTCTTTCGCTCCGCCATGGTGAAGGATGGTTCCCCTAAGGGAGGTCACGATACAGGGGTTTGACGAATTGGAGGTGGGAGAGGGGGCGTTGTCAACCCTGGATAAGAGGTCTTGTTGGGTTTGGTGTACACTGATGATGTCTCGAGTCTCGAGCAACAAGTGTCAAGAAACAGTGAAGAGGAAGAAATTGGTATGGACGGGAGAAAAAGTCAATCATTCAGCGCAAGACACCCGGGCACCTCGTTGACAAAAGTCGCGCCACTCGGTTTCGGCTCTTGTGTCTAGGGTGTACCATTTCCGCGTGGCATGAGGTCAATATGGTCCAACCCAGCTAAGGGAATGGCCAATGGGCCTGGTCTCGTTCGCCCATGGTCTGATGTGGTGTGAGCATCTCCGGATGGGCGATCGTGGGGCGGAGCCATATCTCCAGGTTTCAAAGAGGGACCGAGTCTCGCGGGCGCATTAGGGAATAGCATGGCGTGTACTGGACCTCCCCGAGATGGGCGGGCGGGCGATATGATCTGGAGGGGTTGATGTCGCGCTCGACATGGAGGGGTCCTTTGCTGGGCGAGGTCAAGAGCGATGGAGTCGCGATAAGAGCTGCGCGAGATAAGACATTGGGGGAAAGCACTTATCCTCCAATAAGAGCAGGGACGACCGCCCGCAGCAGAGGCTCTGCTGCGCCCGCGGAGAAGTAACTTTGGGGCGAGTGCGACCCGGGCTGCCGCTAATCGCTCTTGCCAGCGACGAATCGCTCCTTCCTGGTGCTAATCGCGCCTTCCCCCCCTCCCCAAAAAACTGCTCGTCCCCCCTACGAAAATCGCTCGACAATCAGATACGCGGGATGACACCAAGCGCACCCTAAGAGGACAGCATCTGCATCGTCATGCCATCCGAGGAGAAAGCGCCCCAGGGTCCATTAGATATATGCCTCCCTCCATTGGCCCTCCCCTTGCGGCTCCTGATAGACATGCAGCCGGGTTATCGGGCTGGGCCGAATTGGCTGCCGGTCTGCCTCTCATTGGCCTCGTCTTCCCTGTCAGCAGCTTTTCCCGTCCCATTCTCTGGGCTGAAAGCTGGCGATAAGGGCCGCCGAGAGCGGGTGTGAACCATCTGCCTTTGGATCGTCTCAAGAAAACTAGTATGTTTTTGGTGTTCTTCATAATAAATCGATTACCGCCTCCATCCCCCACCGAGTCCGAGTGAGGACAGACAGTAGAGTTGAGCCGCATACGGAGACGTGGTGTAGTTACGATCTGTGGCTGAAGCACGATGCATTGCACGCACCGCCGGACGACGGACTGGCCGTA